TGGATAAGTTGTAATATTCTCGTCATATGATTTATCTCTTGTTTTTTTTTTCTCTTTTTAAATTATATCAGAGAATCAATATTGACGATATCTAAAGATTAAATTTTTATTATACTTATGATAATAATGTTACGATTTTTCTTTCGTTATGGATCCAATAAATCGAAGTATATATTTATTACATTTTTATTTCCATTTATTGTATTTATTTATATATTTTCTCGTCAAAATGTATTACAAGATCAAATTAAAATAACGAAAAATTTTTCATCTTCAATTTTATCATCAACTATTCATACACATGATTTTCATCTTTATTCAGAATCTCGTTCATTTATGGAATATAAACATTTACAAATTGAGAATATTGCACAATCAATGTTTGTTTTTAATAAAACTAATAATAATGAACAAAAAATTAATTATTATCAACCAATTAAATATTCTGAAATAAAATTTCGTTCTGCATCAATTCCAATTATATGGCGTGATGAATATGGTGATGTTCGTTGGAATCATGCAGCTCAATATGAAATATTAAATTATTTATTAGAAAAACAATTTCCTAATGATAATATAACAACTTGTTTAACTCGACAATTATTTATTTTAGAACAATGGTCAATGGGTCTTTTTAGTCGTCATCATTGTTTAATTGAACATTTTGGACAAACATTATATTCACCATCAATGGCTTTATTAATGCCTAGACGTTTAGCTGTATCAAATGCAGGAATGGATGATTTTAAAAATGAAGGTATACTTCGTTATTTTCAATCAATATCATTATGTTCAGCATATTTAAATCATCCAATATTAAAATCTCTTCGTGATAATATACAATCTATTGGATTTGCTTCATCTAATACAAAAATGATTAATAGTATTAATCAATTACTTGAACGTGATGAATTAACAATTAGATATAAATATAGTAGAGAAATTTGGAAATTTGGTTATGAGCATGTACCACATAGACGATGGTTATTTGATCGTAATAGAGATGAAATTAAAAAAATTCTTAATTATCATTCACCGATTTCATTACTTATTAATCATTCAAATGAACATATTTATTATTTGAATAGTTCATTATTAAATTTAACTAATTGGGGACCAAGAAATTCGCCACAAGGACCACCGAAAGATGTTCTAGCTGGTTAGTTTAGAAATTGATAATTTCAAGAAGAAAAATCATGCTGAAAGTTTTTAAATAATATAATCTAAATTGTCTTTCAGCAAATTCTTATCGAATTCAATCGATTAATTAAAATCTTAATCAAATTAAATTGATGACTATTTTATTTGAAAAGGCAATGTTTGAACTATAAATTTTGTAAGATTTTATGGAAAAAAATTTAGTCTTTTTCCGATGATTTACTTTTTTCTGAAAAAGATGTCAATTCTTTTTTGCTGGTTTCAAATTTCAAAAGTGTTTGTTTCAAAGTCAACGAATGAAAAATTGAATCGAGGGAAAATCATTTATAAATGGTTTTCATAGATTCAGTTTTTTTATACTGAGTCTAAAAAAACACACTTTTGAAATTTGAAAGACATAAAAACAATTGACAATTTGTCGGTTATCGAAAATTGACCTCCTCTCCAGAAAATCTAAGTCATCGAAGAAAACTGAAAATTTCCTCTACAAACTCATTCCAAAAAAAAGAAAAAGAATTCTGCTTTAATTTTGCACTTCCGGCACCTTACAAAATTTGTAGTTCAAAAATCGTTCTTTCTAATAAGCCCAAAAGTTTGATTAGTTTAAAGATCAGCCATATGATATAACAAAGTTTGACATTTTTCTAAAAACTTTTGCATTGAATATTAAATTCAATTGTTATAGCCAGATGCATATCTTTTCGATGTGCGTGTAGTTCAAAGAATTACGACCATTCACGTATACGTATAACCAAACAGACTAATGAGTGAAAAATATGAAAGTCATAGTCGCTTGAAAAGCATAAAAATTTAATTTATTGTGAACATTCTATTAGATGTATTTTTAATAATATAATGTGTAATAGCAATCGACATGACAGTTTGGATGATTTCTTCCTAAATAAAATTATCATAACTATGAACAAAAGAACTTGTCAATGTATTATTTTTGGAAATAAAATATGGAGTTGACATCTGTTCTTTAGCTTCATTATACTAATACATAATTCGTAAAGTGAAAAATCTTTAGTAGATTATAATTGTTTTCCAAGGATAATCGATCGTCAAGGAAATGATCTATCGTATTTAGTTGTGTATTTAGAACGGGATTTTTTTTTCTTTTTCCACTATTGTTCTAGTTTTTTTTTTGCCTTGTTCCTATTCGTTCGTTGTTTTTCATTTTCTTAATGTAACATTATTATTATTCTAGCTATTGATTTAATTGGCAAATAAGCCTGCTGTACGTATTCATTTTATCTATGGCAAGTCTCAATGCACTATTATACCTCTCAATACGCTTTAAAACACTGATATTTATTATTATCACTACTCACCATCCTTGACATCTTAAATATAAATTTTTATTTGCACAAAAATGAAAAATCACACTATTTAGAATATTCACGAACGTACTTCACCCATTCAAATATCGAGGAAGGCTTTGGAACGTTCTAGAACAGTCTAAATCTTGTTGATAATGATATTCAGTGCCTTTTTCCGTTACTAAAGAACTCCGGAAGATGATTAGGATGCTCATTGTTTTCGGTTGTTATGAAAGCATAGCCAATCATCGTTGATCGTTCTTCTTCATTACTAAGGAAACCCTAGTCCATTGTCCTCTAGCCTTTGATCCTCGTTGCTATGAAGAGAAAGTTATTATTCTATCTATTTTGGGATAAGTTTCTTCATCATCGTTTTACTTAATCCTTTAGATATGCAATAAGGAAGTACATTGTTCATATATGATAACGAGACGTTATTGGTATACAGTCTGTGATCGTATATCAACAACATCTGCTATAGTACGTGAAATGAAGTGAGATTGTTACTAAGATGGCTGTAAGAGGAGGGTAGGATCCAAATTCCCATCCGTATACTTCAACACTGTTTTAAAATCGTATTTCAGATGATTGATTACATAATCGTAGATACAATCTAAGATGAATATTTTTATGTTTATTGTCTAAAATCAAAGATATGACTGATCATGTTAGATTAGGATTTATATTTAGATATGTACTAACCTTGTTTTAGTGCTAAGTCAACTTAGCCAAATACAAAGTTTTGCGGATCCGATCAATTGAACTTTTTTCATACACGAATCAATTCAAGAATAAACTATTTCGATTCAAACCTGACAAACTCTAGTAGCAAGAAATCAAGATCTTATTACATTGTTACAGATATTTGAAACTATGTCAAACAATCTGTAGTTCTATCTTTTCTGTTAAATATTTGAGTCTATGTTTAAAAAAAAAAGAAAACATTTGCAATTAATCAATTTTTACATCATTATCATTTAATTAAATATTCAAGATTATTTTTATTTATTGTCGTTTGTTTTTTTTTTTTGTTTAGGTACTACAACCAATTTAACAATATCTGATTATATTTTCACTTCATTTCTTCGTTATATGTTTCTTTTATTCTTTTCTCAATTAGCTCCACGTATTCAAACATCAGCAAAATTATTAGCTTATCATTGGTCTGAATATTTATCTGATAAACATAATAAACCTTATGATGAAGCTTTATCAAAAATGGCTGTCTTATTTATTCGTCGTGGTGATAAAATGCCTGAAGATTCTTTTTGGCACAAATATCATCGATGGAGAAATATATCTATGTATGTTAAAGGTCTAGTCGATGAAGAAAAACGTCGTCAAATAAGTTATACAACAATATTTGTTATGACTGATGATGCATCAGTAATGCAATCTATTCAAGAATATTCTAATGTTGGTTTAACTGGTCCAAATAAAGATGAATCCTATGCACGTCATCATTTATATCATCGAGAAATAATATATAATGTTTTTGCTCCTCAATCTTGTTTTAATCCATTTATACGTATTGGTTTTGATCAATTTCTAGTCAATGTTCAATTTATTACTGATCATGCATTACTTGTTGTTGGACATGTGGATTCTAATGTTGGAAGATATTTAGAAGAAATTATTTATGTTAATCGACAACATGAAAAAAATGTACAAACATCAACATATGTTATTAATGCACCAGATTCTCTTGATTAGAATATTCAATACAAGAAAAAATAAAATTTTATGTTTTTTATTTTTTTTCTGATAATAATACATAAAGGACCTTGCCGGATCTGATGACCTCTATTGAACTTGGATACCGTATATATGGTTTTATAGAACAATTTGTAGTACATCGAATGGTATCTTAGAAATAAAGTTTTATGAACATTTTCATGTGCTAAGAGCAAGGAAGAAGGCACAGGCACCATACACCAAATTATTCTCGAAGATGCTAAGCTGGCGCCGAGATGCCGGAAGAGTACTGAGATGGTACTATGGTACTCACAAGGGAGAAAGTGCTGGTGTAGAACTTCCCAGCACTTCAGCACCACCTGAGCATCATCTCAGCATCTATTGGTACTGGAAATCAGTAGTAACAGGGGTGTGCAGCTCACACTCGAAACGGCCATTTCTGATCTATTGTAAGGACAAAACATACTGATGTTCGGGTCAAATGAAAGAGAGCCCCGAATAACCCCAGGATTAGCCCAGACAAGCCTATGTTTTGTCTTACTATAGAGGAAAACCCTGCTGAAATCTGATTGGTCGATGCGATAAAGCTATCAAACAATCAGATTTCAGCAGAGTTTTTTCTTCTATAGTAAGGACAAAACATAGGCTTGGTCGAACCAGTCCTGGGATTATACCGGACTCTCTTTCATTTGATCCAAACATCGGTATATTTTGTCCTTACAATAAATGGGAAACAGTTGTCTCGTGTGTAAGCTGTACACTCCTATCACTACTAACTTTCAGTACCAAAAGGTACTGAAGTGCTGGGTGTGCGAATCTACACTTTCTCCTTTGGTTAAGAGTCTATATATACTGGTTATAATATTTCTTGAAAAACATAAATGTTACTCATAGATATGATGATTCCTAAGATAAATTTATGCAAACTTTTTTTTTCTAAACTCAATTTGATATAGTCGCGGGTGCTCTTCAATTTTCTAAAATTAATAGTTTTCGTCATTGTTTTCTTCATATTTAAAAAGTGGTCCCCTTTCTTGGGTCTAGGTTATTTTTGGACTACTTGATATTTCAGTGTGTTCAACTCCGTACTACAGAACAAGTGAGTATCAACGTGAAGCGTACTCAAAAACTACATACTATCGAGTCCTATTTGGTTCGTACATGACATTTTTTGGAACAGCAAAGTCTCATTGTCCTCTAAGGTGGTCGATTATTTTCCTCGATGAAGGTCCCAGTACATTGACAATATTTTAACAATACTCAACGATTTTATTAAAAATTTTTATGTATCAATAATCAATCAGTGCAGCTTCCTTGATGAATTGATATAAAAAAATTCCTTGATAAATAGAAAAAAATTTTTTTGACTTCCAAACCCTGGAGAAGAGAAAGTCTGTTATTTTAACTATTTCTTTTTCAAAATTTTCTTCCAAATGTTCAGGTTTTATTTATGCATGAGACTCGAGAAGAATTTATAAATATCTCATCTTTGTTTCAAAAATAAGTTTTTTCATATTCCCGAAGCCCTTTCAGAGACGGTCTGGAGGCCAAAAAAGAATGTTTTCTGTTTATAAAGAAGTTGTTTATATCAGTGCATCACGGGTGCTGTACTGATTATTTGTGCATAAAAATATTTTTGATCGGATCGTTGAGTATTGTTAAAATATCGTCAATATATAGGATCTTCCCTAGAGGAAAATAAACTATGCTAGGGAACAATCTAGCAAGTTGACAATGAATTAGTGGCGTAACCAGGAAATATTGGTAGAGGGGGCTCAGCCCCCAGCTCTTTTGAAGTAACCAGGTGTTCCACAGCGGAGGGTTGTGGGGGGGGGAGGGTGACCCCCAATCTTTAAAAATTTTCGTTTTTTCATGGCAAAATTGACGTTTTTTTCGGTTTTTGTGCTCAACAATTTGCAAAAAAAAGGCTTGTATTTCCTCAAAGTTCTGTCATCTTTAGAAAATCGTTTTAACGACTTTCTATATTATCGACCTCTCTTCCCCCAATTTTTCCGACTTCGGGACACCCCTGAAAGTAAAATATGGTAACTTGAGTTCTACTGAAACAATGCATGAAGACAATATAGAAGTTCAAATATTTAATTCTTTATTATGAAAAAAAAAAAAATTTGAACATCAGAATGAATACAACTACCGCAGCATAATTCCACTATTTTTATGACTAATTGAAAACTGATCAATAAGTTGTTCGAAATTCATTTGAAAATCACGTTCAATCGACAAAATACAAAGATCACTTAATCTTTCATCAGCTATTCTATTTCTTATACATGTTTTGATGAACTTCATTTTTTAAAAAACATGTATGTTTTTAAAGATACTGCCTTCTCTGCTCTCACACTAATTCTTACATATTTTTTTATTATAAGTGTGAAAAGGTTCAAAGAGCAAGCTAATATTCACTCTCTTGCTCTACTCTGTTAGAGAGAAGCAAAATATACAATACTTCGTCCTCCAAATGCAATGGCACAACCAGGATCTTTAGACCAATGGGCAAACCTCCATTGTATTGAAAAACCACGATGGGCAAAATGGGCAAGATTTTTATCGACAGGGCAGAACTTTTTCAACCCAATGAAGTAATAATAACTTAAAAAAGAGATAAAAATGAAAATGAGATTATTTATTAATACAAAAAAGGAACAGGTGTTTTTATTGACAAAAAAATGACATGAGATGATTTTAATCAAATGTACATGAAACTCAGATTTTAAGCCTGAGTCAGATGTGTTCTAGTGTGTTTTAATGTTTCTTTCTGCGAAGAAAAATTACCACTGAATAACCTATTAGTGTTAGGTCGCTTTTCATTCAACATACGATAGTATTGGTGTGTTTTAAAACAGAACCACAAAATTGCAAATGCACAATTGTATATATGTATACTTGTTCTTTTCTTTTTTCTCTTTTGCCTTTGCTTATAATATATTATCCTAGGAGAAGAAACATGGTGACCAACTGAACAAGCTAGGCTATAGTTCGTTTGCCGTTATACCGGTCTTATAAGAAGAGACAAAAGCAAAAAGTAAAGAAAAAAAAATATTTACGCTTGTGAACAAGTAAAATTTCAATGGGCGAAAACTTACTAGTAAAATTTTCAATGGGCAATTGCCCCTTTGCCAACCCCTGGTTATGCCACTGTTCAGATAATAAAAATTTAACTTATTAAAATTGACAATAGAAATTTTCGTAGAGGGGGCTCAGCTCTTCGTAGGGGGGGACTGAGCCCCCTCTAGCCCCATCTGGTTACGCCACTATAATGAATCCCTACTGTTTCAGAAGATGTTATGTGTAAAACATATAGAGCTATGTCACAGAGTCGAACATACTGAAATATCAAATCGAAAAGAAACCAGTTTTTAAGTATGATGAAAACAACGTTGAAAACTATTAATTATGGAAAATCGAAGAGCACTTGCGGCTATATCTGAAAAATTAAATATATGATATCCTGGTCATCAAATCCAGCCAAGTCCTTTTCTAAAGAGATTTTACCAGAATCGTTTCTTTTCTTCATCAATAAAATCACACATGAGATATTTTGAAGTGTATTGTTTTATTTCATTTGAATTTCTTCTTAAAATATCATCAAAAAAAAATATGTAGCATTAAAAAAAGGTAAAACACGAAGAAAGAAAGTTTGTAAAAACAAAATAAGTCTTTATTTTTAAACTGATTGATATGGAGTATCACCTTTGTTTGCTACTCGTCGATATACATGAACAACACCATCTTTTGCATAACCAGGTAAACCAACCCAAAATGTTCGATGAGCAATTAAATCAACACCTCCTTTTTCCAAACGAAAACGATAATAAGCAGCAAATCCAACAAAATAAGCAAAAAGAAGAACAACAAGTATTATGATAAATACAGCTCCTCCAGGAAGACCACTACTGCCGCCACCTCCTCCTGATTTTGTTGTTGTTTCTGGTGGTCCACCTATAA